CTGCCAATAAGGCTTTCAAAGTGGACAGCTGTGGAGACTGAGAACCACTGGCTTCCAAAGTAAGGGCAAGGCCCTTGCTTAGTGGTTAGGAGCATGGACTCTGAGGAAGACTACCTGGGTTGGAATAGAGGCTCCATTCCTTCCTAGTTGTAGGAATCTGTGCTTCCGTTTCATTATCCTTAAAATGAGGTCAATAAAAATACCTGCATCACAAGAGTGCTAGATGAATGAAATAAGCTGCTACCTATAAAGCACACAAAATAGTGCACAAAGTAAGCATTAGCTACTGCTCTTTTTTTTTTTTTCCTTTTTGTCTTTTTTCGTGTCTGGCAACGGATCGCAACCCTCAGTGTCGCGCCCACACTGGACCGGGACCGGCAACGGGATCGCAACCCTCGGTGCTGCGCCCGCACCTTTCTCAGCCAGTGAGCGGGAACCGGTCTGTATGTGGGATCCGAACCCTCGGCTGGAGCGCCGCCGCGCTCCCAAGCGGCGCACTGTAGCAGTGCGCCACCGGGCCGGCCCTAGCTACTGCTCTTATTATTATTATTCCTCTCTCTATTTCCACCTGGGTTCTCTCACGTACCTTGAGGACAAACACACCTGGTGTTTGGACACTGGCTTTGATAGTAATAATTAGGCTACTAATCTGTTTCATGTATTCTGCTCTCATATATCCTTCTCCTACTCTAGGAAAGAAGTAATCTTCAAATCCAAAGCAATAATCTTTTGTAAAGAAACATAATCAGGGAACAGGGAAAAGTTGAAGAAGTATGCAAAATTATCTCAAATGATTGCCAGCTTCAGAAAGACTGAAGGGCAAACCACAATGATCTAACCAGGGTTTGTGCTCACTAAACAGTAGTCAGATTCCTCTATGAAGGGGAATCAAACCTGTGCCTCTGCAATCCAGGAACCTGAGATGGTATCTGGATACTCCTCCAAGGCCAGGACAACCTTCTTCCAACATTAGGGCACTTTAAAAGCCACACGCAGTCAGGAAGGGAAAAGTGAATATGGTCAAGGAGGGAAAATCAAAAGTGTCTGATTTTCTCTTATCACAAGGATAGTACAGGGCAGCCTTTGAGACAAAAGCAAATCACCGTTTTTCACAGCTGCTAAAGAGCTTCACAGAGTAGATGCACAAGGTATGAAATACTAGATGATGATGTGAGGCCCTCAGAAAAGAAGGTAGAGCTGTTTTTTTTCTAGAAAGATACAAACAAGCTAATGAAGTTGATGTTTTTAATTTATCAGCTTGATTCTTCAACAGTACATTCATTTCACATTAAAAAAAATTTTTTTGAGCACATACTCAGAGCACTAAGTTAGATACTGAAGATAAAACAACGACCACCTTCCATCCGTGACCATAAACTCTGGTGTAGAAGACAGTAAACAGTTGATTACAAATTAGAATGAGAGAGGGAATGAATGGTCTATTTCTCCTAACAAACCAGTTAATAACTGTAAGAACATCTATTGCAGAAAGGCCAATTCAATCCAAGAAATTTTCTCTGAGGTCATTTTCTGAAAGAGAATGTGCCAGGGAAAACAAGGAGTGATTGTTAGTATCACCTTGACTCTCACTGATGAGTTTCAAAATTCAATTAGTAATAATAACAAAAATATCATTAAATCTTTAAAATTTTTATTAAGTGTTTACTATATGTTGAACATAGTTCTAAGAAGCATTTTAGATGTTTTAACCCATTTAATGCCCACAAGAAATTGAGATGAGTACTACTATTACCCCACACTTTATGGTCAAGAAAAAAAATGGAGGCAGAGAGTGATTAAGAAACCTGCCCTATGTTTCATAGCTAGTAAGTATTGGAGCAAGGTTTGAAATTTTAGCAGCTGAGGTTTAGAGTCAGTGTTTCTAACCAATGTGCTACCTTATTTGGCCAGAAGGCCTTCTTCAGTCAGGCTTGCCTATTAACAAAACAGCTGGGGTATAGCAACACCCTGGTACCCACTGCCCTCATTATACCAGAATCCAATCTGCTTTATACCCAAAGCAGCATCTATCCTCAGTAAGGCCCAAGAGCCTAATTATTCATTGCCAACTGAGGCAACAGACACAGAGGTCTTACCTACTGAAGGTAATGGGAGGAAGGAGTGGGGATGATGGGGGTAAAAAAGGAGGAAAGGGTGGACAAGTAGGAAAAGAACCATTCCTGAGAAGTCTTTGAGCTATTCAGAGTGAGCTCAGAAAAGTGGCCAGAATAAAATCTGAAAGTCAACTGAAGAAAATACAAGGCCATGCAGTAATAAAGCCCAAAAGTAAGAGAATGACAGGACTACACACAAAACTAAGTTGATCTCATCAAAAGAAACCCATATGACTAAATCTTATTTCTTCTGAGGAGCTTCCAGATCTCACAGATGCTTGCTAATTCTTAGAATAGCAGGAGTGGGAGATGGGAGGATTATGGGTCATTTTTGGACACTTTGAATTTGAATCACCTATGGAATGTTCTAACAGAGCTGTTCACCAGGCAGTCAGATATGCAAGCCTGCAGTTCAAGGAAGAGATCTGGTCTGACCCCAAATTTCATCTCCAGCTCTATGTAAGATACTACACTGCCTGCCCCTGCTTTTGACATATTCCTCAGGAGAAACAGTGAGGCTGTCTTCAGTTTGAATCACTAATTTCAAAGGTTTTAAAGAAAACTTTATTCAAAGATAGTATGCAACTGGATGTTGGCAGACCCCTCCTCAAATGCTTGAGACAATCACAACCATCAGAGTGGGTGATCAGCCACGCATCTAGAACTCCTCCTCACTACTCCCAGCCCAAGAACGGGTGGCCACTGCTTGCCCCTGCCCTTCACCTGGTGAGCAACAAAAACATGATCTATCTTGCCTGCTCTCCAGAGTATGCCAGAAAAGGTGTCAGAAACTTGGCATGCCATTTGCCCAAGTTTGCTAATTCCCACTAGGATGTGTATCTCATGGATGACCAAAAGGCAGCCAGGATATATTATATCAATATCTGCAAAGGCCATTTGTTATCATTTAGTTTTCAAAATACCACTCAGTACTTACATTTAAACATAATATTCATGTTTTGAGAATTAAAAAATAATCATCATGGTCTATCAAACACTCAAGGGAGAAGTTCAGGGCTTTAGAGAAACTAAGGAAGGTCTGGTTCTTGCATCTACAATCAGAACAAGATAGGAAAAATAAAACTGGAAATATGACATCCTCTTAATATGGGTTATACCAGGGAATTTGAATGATTAAGGTGGTTTAGTGATAAAAATCCATGTGACTTCTAAGAAACTAAAATACTACTGAGGTTATTTGTTAATCAAAGAGAGCAGCTGTTCATACACAAGTTCAAGGCAAAGCTATCATTCTGCCAGGCACTGGGATCACAGCAGCTTATTTGTCCTTTAATATCTAATCAGTCCCCAAGTCCTGTGCTTTATAATGTCCTTTTCTTTTTACTCCCATGATTACCACCCTTGGTTAGATGTTACAGAAGACTGGTGAAAGTTTAAGATAGAAGACAAGAAGTTACAAGTCATATATTAGAGTGGGAAAAAAAGGGTTTAATAGAATAAATTTGAACTGGATGTGAAAATAATGTGGCACCTCATAGGCAGGAACAACGTATTTCCTTAATAGACATAGTAAACTATATCCTTACCTCAGGTTACACTTACAAACTAAATTTTATAATTAAAATGTTAAATGTATTAACAGAATACCAAGCAATGATAGAGATTGAAGTAACACTAAAACAGCAGTAAAATACAAAAAATGGTCTCCCAGTTAACTGAGAAGAAATTAAGGGTTGAGCAGGGTAACTGAAGAATCATCAGATATAAAAATTGATCGCCTGTATAAATGAGATTATCATGAAAAAAATGCTGGGGAAAATGGAAAGATGGTTTGTCATGTCTCACAGAAGACAAAGTTCATGTGTGAGTACATGAGTACGTATTCATGTGCACACATATGTGTATAAAGTGCGAGGAAAAAGGAAATCCATGACCCACCGCTAGGAGGTCCTAACCAACCTGCCCAACCATTTCCTCCCACTACTTGCCATGGGACCCTCTGTTCTACTCACAAAGGTCTGCTCGCTCTCCTCTGCACTTCCATCTTCTCACCTTTGTTGACACCATAATCCTGACTGTCTTCTACTGTGACTCTGTTTCCATTATCTTAGTGTCCTTCAAGGTCCAGCTCAAGTTCCATGTCTCCTTGCAAGCCCTTCCTGACCAGCCCAGCCCACAGTATCTTTTTCCTCTGTCCTCTGGCAGTTGCTGCCACTCATTCATATACAGAATAAAACAAAAGTTCCCTGACAAACATTTCAATTGACCATCAGCAGTCTCTAATTACTGGGTACCTTCTTGGGTCTATGTTAGTATCTGATCCCCTCAGCCAGATAAACAGTTCTTTAGGGCTGGGATTGTCTGCATACTTCTTTAAATCCTTCCCAGCACAAGGCTAAGTCCAATGTGTGGTCTAATAAACATCTACTGAGGTGAATAAGCAGTATCATGCAGTGTTCAAAGGAAAATACTACATTAAGTATGAGAATATTCTTTTTTTTTTTTTTTTTTAAAAGATGACCGGTAAGGGGATCTTAACCCTTGACTTGGTGTTGTCAGCACCACGCTCACCCAGTGAGCAAACCAGCCATCCCTATATGGGATCCGAACCCGTGGCCTTGGTGTTATCAGCACTGCACTCTCCCGAGTGAGCCACGGGCCGGCCCAAGTATGAGCATATTCTGATTCTACCACACAAGACTAGAAAGGGGTAACTAACCATAGTTGTCTTTTCACTAAATACCTCTTAAGATAATAAGACTGTTGACTTGATCAAAGGTACAGGGCAAAAATAAATGGAAGATGGAGCTTGAGGAAGCAAAGTCAGACGTGGATATCAGAGAGTGACACTCGCATGAAGTAAATGTAAGAAAAACAAAGGAAAAATCAACAATTGTTCAATAGAAGTCAGATATAAAAACATACCGGTATTTCCTTGAGCATCTTCTACCTTATTTGGTGAGGGCAACAGAAAAGGTGGCCTGGTGAAGTGAGGGCCTTGAAGAGATGGCTGCTGCTGCTGTTGCTGCTGCAATGGCATGGTCTTGAGGACTACCCTCCAGTCCACTTGGGTAATATCTGACCTTGACCGAGTGTGCCCTGGCTTGAAAGTAGAGGTCTCATCCAATAAGTCATTCACAGAACGAGGTCTTTCCCTCCGACGCTGACAGATATTGAAAAAATTAAAGGTTGACGCTTCCTTTTGTTCCATCCAGGAAAGATTATCTGGGGTTGTCCCTCTCTGGACCATAAACTGTTCTTTGGCAGGGAAGACATTTTGAGCTTTGGTTTCTAAGAGCCTACTCTTACAGTGGTCCCAAATCATGCCCCCCTTGCCCAGGGAGGCAACATTTTTCATAGCACCATTGTCTGTCAGATTACTGAGTACCTCATGCCCTACCAGTTCAGGAACTTCCTGAATCCCATAAACCTCTGCTTGCCGCACAGCCTTTTCTAGCTTACTGTCAAAAGTACTAAAGAAGTCCTCAGTAACTTCTAAGGCCGGGCTGATATCATCCACTTCCAAAGCTTCCATGTCACAGGCTCCAAGAGGCCTAAGCCTGCAAAGCTGGTCCAGGAAAGGGCTTCATGAACATTCACCCAACAAAGAGAGGTGCTTCAGCAACAGAGATATGGAAACAACTAGAAGAAAGCTGCATTTGGCTGCTTGGAACAGGCCTAGCACAAGGGTGGTTGAGTTGATGTTTTCCTAGTCATTAAAAATATCTGCTAGCTACTAATGGTCAATAACAGAGATATGGGGAGACAAATGTTCCTTTGAGATTATTCCTCAGTGAAAACTCTGTGAAGACGGAAGTGCTTGTCAAAGCAATACCATGCCAATCCTTGATTTCCTGGAAGAAAATAAATAGGACAACATTGGCACATGGTTCATTGTATTCTATAGCACACAAATCTGTCCAATTGCTTTCTTATCTTTACACCTCTTCTGTGACAGTCAGGCACTAAGGAAGACAACACCTACACAGAAGTTCCATTGTCACGAGTACACATCACTACCCACTTTGTATTAGTAACTTACACAGAGCAGTATGGAACACTTGATAAGGGGAATTAAGGTCAATAGCTTTTACTCACACACAGAAGCCTTTGAGAGCAGTTGTGAAAAGACGGCCCTAGTAAATTTCTGACATGTTGACCTAAAATGGTAAGTAAAAGAGACTAGGAATTCTGTGGCTGGGCCAGTATCATAATCAGTCTGTAAGTCATAAATGCTAGAGTCCTTTTACACACCTTGAAAGTACTGATGATGTGTTGAGCTTACAGGTAAAAGAGAGAAGCAGAGAAGGAGGCTTTGCCCTTTTATTAAACCTGAATGCTACTGTGCTTGTGCTTCCTAGGTTTAGATTATATAATGCCTAATGATGACTCTGGACTTCAGAATTCCTCCAGTCTTCTTGAAAGGTTTCAGGCTGCCAACTCCCTGAGACTTCCAGAATTGGCTCAGAGTACAAGTCCAGCCTGTTGAGGTGTCTAAAAGTCTAAGGTGAAGTTATGGCCTGGGTGGCAGATTTTAGTTCACCCTTTTCTCTCTTTAGAGTTCAAGTCCCAAAACTTACAGCTCTACTTGGGCAGACAGAATCCTACATAAGCACTAACCCCCTCTCTCTGGGAAACGCCAGATTTCCAAGGCCAGGACAAATTAGAGCAGACCTTGACAGTGAAGCTGTCCAATACAGTAGACACTAGCCATAAATGATTATTTAAATTTAGTAAAATCAAAGTTCCTCAGTCACACTAGCAACATTTCAAGTGCCCAGTACTCACACACACCTTTGTATCTTTACCCAAAAACAAAAAAACAAAACAATTAGGCAAGAGCTTTTTCTTTTCCTACTCACAAGTAGGTAAAACTAGGCAATTAGCAACACCCTCATATGTTGCTGCAAAGGTAGATGGATGTGCTTCTTTTTTAAAACCTTCACAATTTTTATGATTAATTAAATTCATTTTTAGCACTTAGGTCATTAAACCATCGCATTTAAATCAACAGCATCAATCTATGCTGCTGAATGTATGTAAATTAAACTAGTATGCACAGACTTACTTTAAATGTATTAAGGAGGTTTGCAGTTCATAGGAACTCTATGGTTAACCTCTTATAAAGTGACAATGACTATCAATTTGTTTACTTTTATATATTTTGATATTTATTATGTTAGTATTTCATGAGACAAGGCACAGACAGGTTTTTAGAAATAAAAATGTTATAACATTTTTCTAGCTGCCATTTCTCTTTTTTCCCTAAGTCTAAAGGTAAGCCTTCAGTCTCTTGAATTGTGTAACAGAGTTTTAACACTTCCATAATTTTGAAACACGGGATTTTTTCTATTTCAGCTTGAGAAAAAGAAATGTATAATAAAACTTAAAATCTTTAGTTCTTTCTTTACTAAAAATTCAAATGAACATGAAGTACAAGTTTCCCATTTTATAGGCACCAAGGTGCAGAGTATTGTTATTCATCTAAGATTACAGATATTCCTTTTCCAATGTTTCAAATTCAGTCTTTACTCATGCTAGAGAGTGAGAATAAACACCTCCAAAGTGATTCTTTTTTTCTTTTTAAAAAAAAATTATCAAAATATCTAGGAATATACTTCTTGTGCTCTTTGCTTAGGTATTTGGGGGCTGGTTAGAAAGCACATAACCTTTGATGGCCAGCACTGCTGGCTTATGGAACACTTCTATCCCACATGGTCTAAAACCATAGACTGTTAGACAAGGAAGCAATCTTTGAGATGATCCTTTCAATCCTAACTTTTCACAAAAGTGGACACTGAGGCCCAGAGAGATTAAGAGGTCCAATGGGCACTTTCATGCTGGTTCTCAAACATGTAGCCATGTCCTCACCTCAGGGCCTTTGCATTGGCTGTTCCCCCAGATACCAACATGGCAAACTCTCTAAGTGATTGTTCATGATTGTTCATGTCTGCTTCTCAATGAGGCCTACCCTGACCATCCTATTTAAAATTACAACACACATCTCTGCCCTGGACTCTTGATCTCCCTTAGCGATTTTTTTTTATTGTGATTGTTCATGTCTGCTTCTCAATGAGGCCTACCCTGACCATCCTACTTAAAATTACAACACACATCTCTGCCCTGGACTCTTGATCTCCCTTAGCGATTTTTTTTTATTGAACTTTTCATTTTCGAACAGTTTTGGTCTACAGAATTATTACAATGATAGTACAGAGAGTTCCTGTATACCTCACACCCAATTTCCTCTATCTAACATCTTATATTAGCATAGCACATTTGTTATAATTAATCAACCAATATTTATACATTATTATTAACTAAAGTCCATACTTTATTTGGATTTCCTCAATTTTTCCCTAATTCCTTTTTCTGTTCCAGGATTCTACACAGGATACTATCCAGCTTGGGAGAACATGTCTTTTTAGCTTCCTCTTGGTTGTGACAGTTTCTCAGACTTTACTTGTTTTTGATGACCTTGACAGTTTTGAGAAATACTTATCAGATATTTTATAGAATGTCCCTCATTTAGGATTTGTTTGATGTTTTTCTCATGATTAGCCTAGGGCTAAGGGTTATATGTTTTGGGGAAGACCACAGAGGTGAAGTGCCCTTCTCATTATATCAAATCAAGGATACATACTACCAACATGACTTACTACTGTTTATGTTAACCTTGATCACTTGGTTTGAGGTTCCCTTTTTCCCTCAGCATTTGCCATCTTCTAACATACCACTTCATTTACTTAATGTTTAGTGTTTCTCTCTCCCTACTAAAATATAAGCTCTACAAGTCCAGGAACTTATGCTTATTTTGTTCACTAATGTTTCCCAAATACATACAATAGTGCCTGACACACACATACAAAGGCACTAAATGGACACATGTTGAATGAATGCATTGTTAGTCCTTTGCATGACATTCATGGCTCTTCATGACCTATCCAGCTTTCCATTTTATAGTTCTTGACCAACACTTACCTTGCCATTTTATTCTTCCATGCTTCTGTCCAACCTGGAAGTCTTTCCTAATTGCTCAGGCTTTCATAGCACCCTGGGTTTGCCACATTGTACTGAAATGATCAGCCAGTCTCTCTAGATTCCACACTAAACTCTGAGCTACTTGGTGACAGGCACAGTGCTTTACTTACCCTCCTATATAATCTCTGTCTTCATCCTTTTGGGCTCCATTTTCTAACCTTACTCTTTTTTGGAATTTCATCTTTTCCCTGGGTTCTACAGTCCTCAAGTTCACTATGCTACAATGTCTGATGTCAACTTTAGTTTCTATAATTGAGTACTTAGCTTGCCTCATTTGGTTTTGAAATTAATTAAGAAATAAGAACATATTCAGACAGGTCAAAACATGAAAGGTACCTTCCTCTGACACAGTGAACTGAGTAAAATCAGCGTGTGAGTGCGCTGTGGTTTGCCTCAGCAGAGATCTGGAAATCAGGAGCTAATTAGAACCATGTTCTAAATCTGGCTCAACCACACACTTGCTGGGTGGCCTCTGGCAAGCCATTTAACCTCTGGGGGCCTTACTCAGCTACCTATATCCAATGAAGTTGCTGATATCAGATTGTTTTGCATGTGGATCATTCACTAGGTAGCTGTTCCAACATGTCTTTAAAAATGTAAACTGCTGTGTAATTATGGAGTACTCCATTGGACTTCATTCATTCAACAACCACGTGCTCCTGGTCTCTCCCTGGACAGATCTGTCAGCCCAACAAAGGCAAAGTCAGCAGCCAACTATTTATAATATACTACTTTTCATCCAAATGCAGGACCTGCAGATATTTTATATTTATAGAGAATACTCTTTCTGTAGAAAGGGGTATTTCCCTTATTTAAGAGATTGAGAAATTGAGGTCCATTTGTCGGTGTGGCAGTAAAAGAGCTCAACCCAAAGAATCCCATACATGCATCACAATACAACAGGATGGAGAATCAGTGTATTGGTATTTTCTAACAAGGAAATCTGCTGTTTATATGCTCATTAGGCAAGGCTAATTAACAGGATGAATATGGCAGTCCTCCCACACAGAGGTACAGGCATGTATGAGTAAAAATGCTAGCCAGATACACAGAGATGCCGTGTTCTCTCAAGCTGGATGGTAAAAGCACTGACTTCCTCCCACTTGACTAAATGACTTGTAATCAGAATTTAATGAGTGCTGAAGGTGTCTGGGGCCATGTAGTTTTAGAAGCAGCTGGACTGGGAAAAAAAGTGCAATGCCAAAAACATCTAGGATAACTTGTTTCTCTCAACCCATTTCCAAAAATGAGAAGCAATGGTGATTACAAGAATGTTCAGCACCCGTGACTCTCATGCGTTTTTCACTTCGTTTAAGGTCACAGCTGACTGAGAACTTTCTAAGAGTTACATAATGTGAAGGATCCACAACAAGAGGATCTAACCCTAATAAAATGACTTTTCTGGACCAAGAGGCTACAAGAGGTTTTGATTTTGTACGGCTCTTTGTCACAAAGACAATGTAAGTATGTTGATGGAGCTCAGGCATGCCACAAGCAGCAGACAAGGAAATGGTACCAGTGTGGACCTCTTAAAAAGACCTTAGGGGGGTTTCAAATGAAATGGATAGCTAGAAACACAGATGGAATCCCATCATCATAGGCTTGAAGGGAACATTAAATGTCTACATTGTATCCAGATTTTAATAAAGAGAAGACTTGTAGTGCTAGGCTAATGTCGGAACCCTGCCAGCGTCGCCAATTGTCGTGCTCTTTTACCTGCCTGCAATCCTGCCAACTGGGCCAATTGCTGAGCTAGGGCTGGGTCTCAGCTCACACACCCCTCAAGCTCATTGTCCAGATTGGGTCACAAACC